CACTTTCCATGCCAAACGCTCCCTCTGAATCCCTAGAAAAAAAACTGGTCTCTCATTTCTTGCGCCAATCTTAGCCCCGAACACGCGCCGCCAACCGTTTTCTTCCGTTTTTCTCGCGCATCCAGTTTGTTTCCATTGGTCTCGCTCATCTTGGCTGCGAACACCTGACCCCGCCACGGCTTTACCCAATCTAATTCTGCTCCAAAACGAGCCTCCTCTGGTTGCACTTTCCATGCCAAACGCTCCCTCTGAATCCCTAGAAAAAAACTGTTCTCTCATTTCTTGCGCCAATCTTAGCCCCGAACACGTTTTCCATTGGTCTCGCTCTTCTTGGCCCCGAAGACCTGACCCCGCCACGGCTTTTCCCAATCTAATTCTGGTCGAAAACGAGCTTCCCCTGGTTGCACTTACTAGTAGTAACAAGAAGCTACTAGGAACAAGTGCATCGCTACGAGGCGCTGCCGGGGAGGGTTTGAGGGGGCGGACTTCTCTCATACCTGCAGCATGTGTCTGACCCCTAAGTGACGGTACTCCCTTGCGCGCTCCCCCTTCTTCGACCGGGGTCGGCGGATTCTGGTCCAAAACGAGCCTCCCCTGGACACTTTCGCTCCCAAACGCTGCCTCTGAATCCCTGAGAAAAAAAGAAGTTTTCTTTTCTTCCATTTTTCTCGCGCATCCTGGCCCCGAACACCTGGTGCCGCCACAGCTTTTCCCCATCTAATTCTGGCCCAAAACGAGCCTCCCCTGGTTGCACTTTCGCTCCCAAACGCTGCCTCTGAATCCCTAGAAAAAAAAGACGTTTTCTTCCATTTTTCTCGCGCATCCTGGCCCCGAACATGTGGTGCCGCCAGCTTTTCCCCAGCTAATTCTGGTCCAAAACGAGCCTCCCCTGGTTGCACTTTCGCTCCCAAACGCTGCCTCTGAATCCCTAGAAAAAAAGACGTTTTCTTCCATTTTTCTCGCGCATCCTGGCCCCGAAGGTCCAAAACGAGCCTCTTATGGTCGCACTTTCGATCCCTCTACCCCCAAGCCCCCAAACAGCTACCCGTAATCCCTGGCGCGCTCCCCCTTGCAACGGCGGGGTCGGCGGATATAATATGATATATATATATATGGAAGACCAAGATAGATTATTAGTGCGGTTCAGAGGCTGTACCTTAGATTCTCAGATTATACTACTTGTGGCTACCAACAAAAGCATTTGGAAGGTTGGATGTCGCATGAAGTTGGATGTCTCCCTTTGCTATTTTGTTGTGCGGTTTCCGGGCTCTTTAGACTTACACTAGTTCGATGAGCTCAGGACTTGGCAAAGATGATGTCGCAGGGGGAGGACGGTGGCTATTTGTCCGCAGAGGACGTCCAAAGCGTTCAAGTGTTCTTTGTAAAGTGCCAGGACTTCTGTCATTTTGATGCCAATGGCGCTCGCCTTCGATCTATCATTGAAGCCAATTTGCCTTGGACACTCCAATTTGACACCTTTCACGTGGCAAGCCCTGCCGAGAATGTGAAGACTAAGCCGAAGCTCAAGAGTTGGAAGGCTGCCATTGTGGGCGCACATCCTTCATTGTGTGCTGACATCGCCCATGCTGTGGATCGAGCCTTGGGGGGACAAAGTGAACATCAATATTTTGGCCTTAGCTGCCCTGGGCACCACTCTGCTTCTCATCACTGTACTTTTCGTTGTGAGGTGTGCCGTCCTGAGTTTCAGACTCACAAGACTTCACACTGTAAGACTGTGTACACAAGAAAATGTTATAATTGGGTTTTATATGTGTCTACCCCCGACACTTTGTTGTCCTTTCTTTACTACTAACTCGGGTGTCTTGAGGCTTGGCCAATGCTCCAATGATGCAATGTTCGACCGGATTCTGGGGCAAATGCTGAATTGGGGAGAGTTCACAGAAAGACCCTTTGACCCTAAAGTGCCTTGGTGCCCCAAGCGGTGCCCCCAACATGCTACACACAGTGCTACACACTTTTCATGTGTGTTTCATCTATCTCAGTCTCATTTCAAGAGTTCCATGATGTTCCATGCCAATTTGTTCAGTAATTAACCAATTTGATCATCAGGTTCTCCTGAACGAGTTGCGCAAGATTGTTTCGTCCAGCAAGTTTCTATCCTCGGCCGACTTGCAGATTTGCACAGGGCCATATGTTCTATGTCATATGATGCAGTTGATCCTTGACGTGCCACTGTTGGTGTATTTGGGTGGAGTCCTCAGTCCATGCAGTGCGGGCCAGGCGGCCAGTGCAAAATCCATAGTCCCTGAAGATCTGAAGAGGCTATCAGACCTTCTAGCTGGAGGGTACAGATGCATATACTATCTTTTTATGACTACAAACAGCCCAAGAGTGGAAGAGTGGGACAAGTATGGGTTGTTTAAGTGCCACCAATTTGGTGCTTGAGGCTTAACCCTGACCTATTTGGCAGCGGAAAACGTGGAAGAATTGCTGCTCTCTGCAAGATCCATTGCATCAGACTTCACGAACTTGGCAGGCAACAAGTCGGCATTCTGATAGTATCCTACTTTGAATCAAAGTCGCTGGCAGGTGCAGTGGGTCCTCGACGTAGAGCGCTTGTGACCAGATTTAAAGGTTTGGCAGTGCATGGCATTGATGAATCCAGGTGCACAGCGGCAACAGCCCCGAAAGCACTACTGCATTCACACTTAAGGTCGTCACTGACCTGATCCGAGCAGCCCAGTTCCACCATGCAACTGGAGTATGGGTCCCCGCTCTTCCTCCATTGTCGTTCTATCATGCAGATCCAGCTCAAGGAGGCTGCAGTGGTTTGCGGTAGGCAATTTGGATTTGGCTTACAGTGAAATGTTCACAGCAGAGATGCGACAAGATGATGTGTTGTTTCATTTTGGAGTGTGCTTGAAGATCACGAATGAAGCATCAACGCTTATTGGATCATTGCTTATGGTTCTAGAGGAGATGTTTAAGGGCCTTTGTGCTTTTATTGCATGCAAGGCAGTTTTGCCACTGTTGCATGAAGGGCGGCATGCCATCATGCCATGATCCTTTGCTGGACTTTGCTTTCCCTGCTGCTCCTAAAGACTCAAAGACTGTCATATGTTCAGCTAGCCTGCCTTCATCTCTTGGCGTCCTGAGACATGCACCTCCACACTAAACGAGCAAGTGAGAAGCTTGGATTCAACTCAAAGCACATGCGCCGAGCCTCAATTTCTCTCCCACGATATGTGTGTGTGTGTGCACGTTTGGCAAGCGGAGGATTGCGTCAAAGATTTACGGATTACATATGATTACATGGATTGCGGGTAGGTTACAGTATGGTTGTTTTTCGCAATTCCCAGTGTGCCCATGTGAACACAAAAGGACCCCCTTCGAATCACTCAAGGAGTAAACGTCATAATTGGAAGTGAAGTGCTCCATTTTGGCATTGAAGCCGTTAATGCCTTACCTCACCCCATTTGAGACTAAGATAATTCACTTAACTACTGTACTAGGCACGTGAGCGATATCATGTTTTTTTTTGCTTAGTGTGTCAGTGTGCACAGTTGCACAAGCAACATCAAGCAACATGTATGCAAGCAAGACCTTCACTGTGAGTACAGCCTGATGTTGCCCTGCAAAAACCACAAACCCTGCATCTTCACAGTGCACCTAATGTTGGTGGGGTGGTGGTGTTGCTGATGGTGTTGGCGGTGGTGGAGATCAGGAGAACAGCAAGCAATGGTTCATGCACAAAATGTCCGCCGCTCCCAATGTCCTGTTCCTTTTTCTGACCGACTGACGCCCCAGACAAAGACGCCTTATGCTGAAAGATGTAGCATGCTGTAGCAATGTAGATCAGCTAGAATATCTCAAAATATTCAAGGAAAGAATGAAGCCCAAAGAGAGGCAAACAGGCAGGGTGATAGCATTCAAACCAACACCAAGACCTAAGAGAGGCAAGACATTGATGATCAATTGCCTGAAGCCCACCCAGAAACCCTCAAAGTCCACACATGACATACAGTCCTATGAGAAAAAGTTTGAAGCAGCGTTGCTACAAAACGGATCAAAACTGCATGACTTAGACGCTGGAGTCGCCTTAGCTCATCTCGAAAAGATGCAGATGCTGCCACTTGAAGCTCAAAATTATTTGATTGACAATTGGCAACACCAGATGCGCATATTTCACTGATCAAGCCATATCAAGCCTTTGCAGAAACCAACAAAAAGGGCTCCGGTTGGGAACAGTGTCTCCGGACAAAAGAGGACGCCACCATCGTGCCAAAAGAGTTGAAGCAATCGCACTTCGACCTGAACTTTGGCGCTCGGTACCCAGAGAAAGGGCAGCTCTAAGACTTATCGCTTGGTCCGGCCTCTAAGACATGCTAAAAGAGACTGGTAAGTGCCTAAGGCTTGGGAGTCAACTACCCCTCGCGAGAAACAATCATACATCTTGGAGACTTGAGATCGATGCCTATTTGTGCCAAGGCCGCGCTGCGTTTGGTCCTGGACTTCGTGGATTGCTGCGGCACTTCTGTAATTCCAACACGGGTGTTGTACTTTGGCGTGCTTTCATTGCACACATTTTGACTTGTATCGCGCCTGGCGGCAGAGGCATTTCAAACTCATTTCTTGCCGCTCAGAAGCTTGTCTGCAATGGAGGATATGGAGGTCTAATGTGATACTCTGTGTCATGTTCAAAGCTGCAGTTTGTGGTGCATTGTACGTGGGGGTTAGGAAGAATACTTTCGTATGATGCTGCTATCCTTGTCCCATGGGACAATGATGTCATTGGCTGAGTGCAAGACAAATGTGCATGCATTGACGAACAACAATGGAGTACAAGAGCACAGCTGCACAGATGTATGCCATGGTGTAGTTTGCGTTGGCATTCCTTTCTAGTTACTAGTTCTTTCTCACTCTCCCTCTCACTCTCACTATATGCCTCTCAGCTCTGTCTTGACTGTTTCCTTCGACAATGCAATTGTCAACTTGTCAGGTCATGTCGTTTTACGAGCTCTATCATGCCGCCTTCTACTCAGTTGGAGAAGTTGATTTTCGTGGTCGCGTTTGCAATCTAGTAGTCTAGCACAACCCTTTGGGGGGATATAACATGACCGTAATATCGTCAGAGACACGATCGTCACAGCCATGACCTGTTCAAGGCCATGCCACTGCTGATGCCGAGTGAAATGCTTATGAGCAAATGGCTTCCAGCAGTACGTTGGGGATCTCTTGAGTTTGATCGAGATCGCGGCACAGGTTCAGCAAAGCGTCCAGCATGTTTGATGCGTTTAGGCAAAAGCCCAGCCTGCTTCGTTCCATGGATGAACCAATCAACCTTGCAAAGTGCGATGGACGGTGGCGCAGCCAGCTGGATTGGAGCAACAGACTATTATCGCTTTCCACATATACTGCACTTCCATTCGGTTGCATCTCTGGTTGGAAAGTTACAAGGGCCTTTGGCAGCTACAAGGTCTGGGATGAGAAAAGCAAGCCAGGAAATTCGCTCTCAAACCTTGTCACTTCATAGAAGGCTACTTGGACACTTGCTGGGATTTGGAGACTCTGAGAGGTTTCCACGCCTGGCTCTCAGCAGCTGTAGCAAACTGTGTAGTAGAGTTTGTGGATGTTTGTAGTAGATGCTGTGGGTCCAGCGTACGCTTGTTGCTGCAGGCTTCATGCCTACACAAGCACCCAACCACTGGAATCAGCTGCCACTGGGTGGCACCTGCAAGCTTGGCTTTATCGCTCAAGCTGACTTCCCACAGGCGAGTCCTCTTTCCACATTTTACCATTCAAAGTATTTGCAGGTTCAAAACCAAATCCTGGTGTGATTGTGAGCAACTTGCATTGATGTGATTTTATGTTTGCAGATCGAGCCACATTCCTCACCTTTTCTCGGACTCCGTCAATGCTTGCGATTGTGCGATGAAACTGCTGGATGCGAAGTGGCAGCCGCTCATCTTGGCTCAGATACGTAGCTTCTGGCAAACGTTACTCCTTGCCGTGCTCCTTTTGTTTGTTGTCAGTGTTTGTCCCCAAAGAAGTTTGATATTGACAAACAATGCAAGACTTAGAGATACTTAGAGTATGTGCATATGCTATGTAGTTATATAAATATATTATATATATATATACAATGTAGATATATTATATATTTACATAGATATATGATATACACTATGTTTCTTATAGATATATTTATACAAATACAGTATGTTGAGACGCATGTGTACATGATTTTCTTGTTTTCGATAGCAAGTTGTTGGAGCTTCAGATACAAGCTGAGCAGGTCTTCAATGGCCTAACCTGCATGGTCTATGACGAATTCTGCAATGCAACAGACCTCCGTCGTGAAGGCAAGTTTGGCAGTTTGGCCACATGGTCATGTCCAAGGTTTCGCAAGCAACTCATAGTTCTTTGTAAGAGCCTGATGGTTTTGGTTTTGGGGTCTCAAGGTATTTCGGGTGTCCAACGCAGGAGATCGCAATGGCTATGTAGCTTGGAAGCGTGATTGAATGTCAAGAAGATCTTAGAGGTCTTGGCTCGTGATGCTCATGCTTCATGCTTGCCGACATGCCCGTGCTGGTGGCCAACATGCTTTCCGGGTGAAGAAATTCATCTCGACAGTGGCAGTGTGGTGGTAAGGGTCAAGGCGCTCAAGCATCACCTCGACGCAAAACGGCATTGGCATTCCACTTGGAATGTAATCGATGAAGGGCAATATCCCTGATGACTGTCCAATCAAAGAATAATTGCGATATTCAACTCATTCAATCAAATAATCAAAAAATATATTAATTAGATCAATAAATTACACCACCGTCGGCCCCGAACAGTTGACCGCCATATATTTGCATCTCCAAAAATTGCCATTGGAAGGTATTGCTTTTGCCAGAAGGCGGACGCAATAGCCCAGACTGGGAGACGAATATAAATTGCGATTGAGGGTTTGCCAGCAGGCGGACACTGGGAGAAAAATGTCAAGTTTGCTACTAAGCCAGCACTTGCCAGAAGGCGGGCACACTGGCCAGACTGGGAAACGAATGTACTGGTAAAGTCATAGTGTACCCCGCTGGAACTGGAACTTGAACTGGAACTGGACCCCCCCCGGGGAAAAAAAGACATCGACGCTAAACTGACGTTGGCAATCATGTCCAGACCCGGGCCCCGAACTGGAATTGGAAGTGGAACTGGAACTGCATCGACGCTAAACTGACATTGGTAATCAAGTCCAAACTCGGACCCAGAACTGGAAGTGGAACTGGAACTCGAACTCCCCCCCGCGAAAAAAAATCGACATTAAACTGACGTCGCCAATCACTTCCAGACTCAGACCCAGAACCGGAAGTGGAATTGGAACTGGAACCCCCCTCTCCCCAGTCTGTTTCCTGTGTTGGACGACGTGGAACTGGAACTGGAACTGGAACTGGAACTGGAACTCCCCTCCCCCCCTCCCCAGTCCACAAGTTGGACTCACTGGCCAAGATTGTAAGAAAGGAGGAAGCTCAAGAATGGCGTAGTTGCTAGTTGCTAGAAGGCGGACTGTAATAGCCCAGCGTAGGAAATTATGTGAAGCATTGCTACCAAGGAGCTGCTAGTCAAAACTAGTCGGAGATAAATGTAAAGAATTGCAACCGAGGAGTTGTTAGGACGTTACTAGAAGGCAGGCAATGTAAAGATTTGCTACTATAAGGAGTTGCTAGTAGGCGGACACATAAGGCTGGGAGATACATGTAGAGAATTGTCTAAATTGGCGGTAGATAAATATATAGAATTATTATTAATGAATATTACGAAAGGCAGCCTTCGTAGAAGGCGCTAGTTGAGGTGTGTTTGGCGAACGTAATGAATAGTTTGGGGGGGTGGCCCGCAAAAGATACACGTAAATTCGGTATATGTTGGGGGAGGAGGGGATGGATGGAAGGTTTTTTGAGGTGATTTTTGAGGGGTGGTAACGCAAGAAATGTAATTTGTATTATTTATAGCATTTAAATGGTAAGGTGTAGTTGGTACCTTGCTAGGTATAGATACTTAGGATAGTTATAGTGTAGTTACTAGGTATAATATTTTTAATTCCTTTTCTATTAACGGCTCGATAATCTTTAGATACGCATAATAATCCGCAGCTTTGAAATTTTATGCGCGCGATACCTGGAAACAGAATGATAGTTACCTTGGATTCGTATAAATATTATGTTGTTATATTTTTTACATACCTATATAAGTGTGTAAAGATTATCGAGCGATTAACGGAAAGGAAATTGGAAATATTATATTTGACAATTGAATTGTAATTACCCTGGGCATTTATATTTGGTAAGGCGCTAGTTTTGGGGGGGTGGTCTGAAAAAGCACATTCGAAAGTAGGTGGTGTGTAGGGGTGCACGGAAGGAAGGTTTTGGAGTTGTTTTTTGTAATTTTAAGAAATGTAATTGTCTTCGGTTGGTTGTAGTGCTATATACTTGGCAATTGAATTGTAGCTACCCTGGGTATACCTGAAAATTGTTTTGTAGCTGCTTTGGGTCCGCGCACGCATCTAAATCACGGGTAGCTGGAAGCCAGAATGACGCGCGCGCGGACCTAGAGTAGGGAAATTGAAGTGGGATATCTGGAAATAGAATTGTAGTTATCGTGGGTCCGAAAAAATGCTATGTTGTTATACCTCTTACACACCTATATAAGATTAATGCAAGAATGAGATTTTAAAGCTGAGGATTGCTGTGCGTGTGTAAAGGGTTATCGAGCGATTGACGGAAAATACTATATTTGGTAATTGAATTGTAGTTACCCTGGGTATTTATACCTGCGCCAGCTGAGTAAGAAGGGGGGGGTTCGGGGGGTAACCTGAGAAAGCACACTCGAAAGTAAAAACGCTGGCTTTCGTTTTGCAGCTTCTCAGGTTTGGAAGGTGGATGCGATAATTAGCCGAGAGGGGGGAGGTATATATTTGGAATCTTGATTAAATTTGTTGGAAGATTGATAAAATACGATTAGAAGATTAATTCACTTCCTATTTATAGTTCGAATCGATTTTTTTACGAAAATGAATGTTTTAGTAATGTATTGAATTTATTTTGCGAAGTAATTATGATTTGTTTCGAATTGAGTAATTAGGATTTTAGTTTAGTCTTTATTTGATTCTTTTGAATTGATTGTTTAAAATATTTTTATTGTTTTGAATCGTGTCTTTTTGAAATTGCTTATATTTATGGGAATTATTTGGTTTATAAATATAACGGTAATATTAATTATATATTGAATATATGTATATACGTATATATTATAATTTTTATATATTTTGTGATTATGTATATTTTAATTATGTTGTATTTGGCTTAATGATTTCGTGTTTTATGGCAAGTTGCTCGAAGAACATAGTTTGTTATGTAGCGATTCGCGAGGTTTGGCGTAAGTATCCCTTTTTTGTGTAGGCGGGATTTAGTTTGCGCCGTTATGGGCGCCGGGGCGGCGTTGGAAATGCTCGCCGGCTTAGCGGGTCTTAATGCGTTTGAGATTAACGTTATTGAGCGTGGCGGTTGGAATAGGATTCGGTTGGTTACGTTGGCTGACCGCCCCGGCGATGTGCTTAGAAGAAATCGTACCTAGCGTGGAGGACTTGGTGGGTCGCTTTTCGATGAGGGCATCGATGATCTATGTGGTCGATGCCAAGAAAGGTTCTTAGGTCTTGTTGGATGCATAGGTGGTTTATTAACGAGAAGTTCGAAGGCGGAATTATGAGGAGAACGTGAATATTGAGATGCGAGTAAAGGTGGACTTGGTCTACCCGTCTAGGACAAAAGTTGCATCTAGCAGCGGACGATTTTTTTCTGAGGGAGCTGGTAGAACGGGATGAATATAATCGTTGGGTGAAGGAGATCAAGGACCTCGTCAAAGCGGCCCGCTTGCCGGTCGCAATACGGTCGGGCGAGGAAGCTCTCATGATCCGGGTGGCCAAAGGCCGGAAACTAAATATATTGAGAAAGCACGTGAAAACGTGGCAAAAGGTGGCGGGCTGGTTGAAGGCCACCTTTGGTTGCGCGTGGCCGGACTCGGCCGAACTGTTCGCGGAATTCCTCGAGACGATGGTGGAAGAACCCTGTGCCAGAAACTTTCCGGAGTCTGCATACAAGATGCTCATGTTTCTGGAATACATAGGAGAAGTACCTGAGGAACAACAATTCAGCCGGTCGCCTGCCATCAAGAATGCCCTGGAGGAGTCAGCATTGAGGTTGCAGTCGGTCGAACTCAAGCCGGCGAAGAAGGCCCTGCTGATTCCGGTAGCCATCGTTGTGGCATGGGAAGCCTGGGTTTGCAATGACGAGGCCTCCAATTACAGTCGGGCCTATGCCTGGTTTCGGCTGATCAAGTTCGGGACAGGCATGAGGTTCGATGACACGAAAGGCACGCCCAACAGGACGATGGAACTTTGTGAATGGGGTTTGAAGGGCGTGATACACAGGTCGAAGACCTCGGGGCCCGGCAAGCGCATCGTGCTCCTGCCCTTCTACCTCGGCAAGGAGGCGTGGATCTGCCATGAAAATTGGTTGGCAGTCGGATGGAGGTTCTGGAATTCGATGGGCATGGAGGCAGGGATGTTGATGAGGGACTTCATGTTTCCATGGCCGAATAGGGACAGGAGCTGCTTTATCCGGAAGGTCGTGGACTACCCGGTGGCCTCAACAATGTCCCAGGCGCTGTTCGGCGAGATCATGGTGGGTCGGGGCAACGACAGAGGTCCCGTCCTCCTGCCTGGTTTGGGTGTGCTTTGGTCGGAGCATAGCGAGAAGGGCCACCATCCGGACATGGGCTCAGGCAGCTCGCATCCCTGAGGATGTGAGAAAAATGATCGGTCGCTGGAAGCCATCGGCCGATGAGGGCTATGAGAGAAATGTCAAGACGAATGTGGTCCGTTGCCAGAAGGTGATCGCCGCGTTCATACCCTTTGATGAGACTACTGTGATTCAGTTGGTCGAGCAGAGGATGAAGGGCATGGGATACAAGTCATTGGATTGCGATGGTCAGTTGATGAGGCTGATGTCCTTCATGCCCGGCACGGACGCGGCCAAGCCATGTCAGAGGCCATCTTGGACAACCACTGGACACGTTATCCTGGTGAAGGAAGAGGAAGAGGAGACCGGCGAGCAAGGTGAGAAGTCGCCGGTGGCGGAAGTCGTGCTCCAAGATGAAGGTGAGTCGGAGCAGGAGCCGACGGAGGTGCTGCCCGTCGACAAAGTGGCGGGTATGTTTATAGTTTCGATTGTTGGCAGGTCGAAGACCAGGACGCTCCACCGAATAGGGGAGTGCCATAGGCAACCGGGTTTGCATTACGCAAACTTCGAGATCCTCGGGGAAGAAACCCCGGGGAGGGAGCTGTATGACCGGGCATGCAAACAGTGCTTCCGGGAAGGTGGTGCAGGAGAGGTTGGAGCCCTTGAAGATGATTCTTCGGGGAAGTGTCGTCGTCGGAGATGACTGACTCGGATGATCAGGACACGGGATGAACGACGCTGTACAG